TATGCTCGTGCTTGGGGTTTTATTATGCCATGATAGGCTATAGTCGGGCCAAGTAGTGCCGAATGAGCATGTGAGCGTGATTTAGTAATATAGGTATGTCCTTGGCTCCTTTTGCACGTGCTTGTTTAGCATGATTTGTCGCTTGTAGCTTGTGTTGGCGGCTCTTATAAATTTTCTTTTATCCCGATTGAGCTTATTTTGCATCCAATCACTCATATTGGGCTAAGGGTTAATTTGGGCTTAGCCCCTTGGATTTTTGGGCCTCAACAAATATTTAGGCCCATAAATGGGTCAGAGATGGAGCGGAGCACATGAAATCCAACCCGACTAGATTCAATCCGAAAATATGACGGGTCATTAACAACTAGATTCATATCTGATTTGTTGAATTATCCGATACCAGATTGGAATTCTTTTTTCTTTTTTTTTCATATATACAAATAATTTAAAAATGTTTTTATTTGTTTACAAAATTCACAAGATTGTTATATCAAATTGAATGAAATATATGTTATATCAAATTGGATCGGATTAGACAAGATTCAAATTTGTTCTATTAATTTAACGGGTTAATAGATTCGGAATATACTCGAGTTATTAAATTACGCCACCAAATCCATCTTCTATTCGAGCACTTCCAGCGTGCACTGCCCAGATAGGAGAGGGCCCGATTTCCTTGTTCCAGCAGCCAAATGCAGCTCGAGCAAGGCGTGGGGCCCACCAACCTGGGCAAGCCCATAGGCAAATCCAGCTCGTGCTGCTGCCTAGGCAAGTGACGTAATGTGGACATCATTATGACGTCAGCAACCAATTAAAATAATAAAACATTTGAAAAAAAAAAAACCAAAAAATTCAATTTTATTTATTTTATTTATAAATACCTAGCCATATTCTTAACTTCCAACACCAAAACCCTAAACCATATTAAAATTAATCATTTATGCATAAATAAAAATAAAAATAATTTAAAGTGAATAATAATTGTCTTTTACCATAGCAATGAGTGGAAACACACTTTGCCTTTTGCAAGAACTGACACTATTCATATGAATAGTAACACCCCTTACCCTCTGCCATGAAAATGGGTGAAAATGCTCTTAATTACATCGGATTCGGATCAAAATTAGATCCATTGACAGCTCTAATAATATTGCAAATGGATATTTGACTATTCAATAGTTTTCAAGTCTGATTGCAATAGCAAGAGTGATCTAATCAATGACCCTTTAATAGTTTTCTCTTTCCCGGGTAAATAAGTCCGTAGAGTTGGCTTGTGTGCTGCAAAGTTGCAACATCGCAATCAAAGAAAGGGTCATGTTATGTAATTGGAAGAGGCAAAGACAAGGGTGCAGATTTAAAAACAGCAAATCACATAAACCTAGCTTAACGCTCACAAACGAAATGACGCCACGTGGCAAACTTTAGCTATATGTTGTTGCGCCTAATTGTCTTGCCAACACAGAAATGAAACAAAATCTTATAAAAAATGTTCATAGTGCCTGTTTGTACAGGGCATTGTTATTAGTTAATTCGGCAAGTAATGACACTAGGATTTAGTCGCTGCCCACAACCAATTCTTTATAATTACTTTGCAATTAACTCATATATGTTCACATACGGGTTCTAAAATTTCAATAATTCAATTGGGCGGTCAAATGATATCGAATTCAAGTGATTTTTTTTTTTTGTGTGGAGATGATCTTTGATTGAGTATCTACAAAACGGTTTGAATTTGTGAAATATAATACGGAGTGAGCTCTATGAGGGTGTCCCTCAAATAAACTTATTTGAGAGATCCCTCAACCCGAAGCTCCCCGTATATATATATTGTCGTCTTGTTGTAGAATTAGTTTATGCTCCTAGGAATTTTCAATGAGATGGAGCATCTTGTTGGCTTCTTTATTGATCCCACTTTGTAGCCAATTGACGTAAGCCTTGTTAGAAGCTAATTAATTAGATTAGCAACTATAAAAAAATGAATTTATGTGCATAATATAATGCAAGAGTGAAAGTAACTTTTTGTCCCCTCCAAAACAACAACTGTGATCTTAGGAGTTATACAGAAGAGAAGAGATCCTTAGAGACGCCGAATAGAACAAGTCAGCATTGTTTTTAACACCCCCCACTTGGCACAATCTCACCAAAGCCGGCCTTGGCATTCCCTACCTTCTCTTAAACTCCAAACTTTCCACCTTCACTTCCTTCCATATTTCTCAATCTCCCTGCCTCATTTTTTTCATGGTTTTTCTTGTCTACCTCCTAACTGTTTCAATCCCAGAAATATTACCCATTAGTTTAAGTTTGTATCCAAACTGAAAAATCAATCAAGATATGGACAGGCTCATAAGTTTGGAGCCATCAAATTTTGTTGCAATAAGGATCGAACCGGGACAGAAATGCTACGGCCAGCTTACTTTGCGCAACGTTATGTACACCATGCCGGTGGCCTTCAGGCTTCAACCGCTGATCAAGAATCGCTACACGGTGAAGCCCCAATCCGGGATCATATCTCCCCTAGAGAAATTGACCATAGAAATTGTGTATCATCTTCCTCCAGGGTCAAGCCTCCCTGACTCATTCCCTTATTGCCATGACTCTTTTCTTTTGCATAGCGTGGTTGTGCCCGGGGCAGCCATCAAAGACTCTTCGTCCACGTTTGATGCCATTCCAAGTGACTGGTTCACCACGAAGAAGAAGCAAGTGTTCATAGATAGTGGTGTGAAGGTTATGTTTGTTGGTTCACCTATTTTGGCACAACTTGTGGCAGATGGTTTGATGGATGATATTCGGGAAGTTCTTGAGAAGAGTGATCCTTCTTGGAAAGCAGCCGACTCGGTGGATTCGGAGGGTCAATCTTTGCTTCACTTGGCTATTAGTCAAGGCCGGCCTGACCTTGTCCAGCTACTTCTCGAGTTCGAGCCTGATGTAGAGGCTCAGAGCCGGTCAGGGTCTAGCCCACTTGAAGCCGCCGCTTCATGCGGGGAGGCCTTGATCGTGGAGCTTCTATTGGCCCGGCGTGCAAGCACTGAAAGATCCGAGTCCTCTACTTGGGGTCCCATTCACCTGGCGGCAGCAGGTGGGCACGCAGAGGTTCTTAGGCTTCTTATAATCAAAAGGGCTAATGTTGATGCAGTGACAAAGGACGGTAGCACGGCTTTACACCTTGCAGTTGAGGAGCGAAAAAGGGATTGTGCCAGGCTCTTAATGGCGAGTGGGGCAAAAGCTGAAGTTCGTGACAGCAGAGACGGCGATACTCCTTTACACATCGCTGCCGGGTTGGGGGACGAGTACATGGTGAAGCTGTTGCTGCAAAAGGGTGCTAATAAAGACATTAGAAACTTTGCAGGCCGAACAGCATATGATGTTGCCTCGGAGAACGGGCACACAAGGCTGTTTGATTCGCTTCGACTTGGCGATAGCTTGTGTATCGCTGCGAGGAAGGGTGAGGTGAGAACAATTGTCAGGCTGCTTGAGACGGGCGCAGCCATCAATGGAAGAGACCAACATGGGTGGACAGCTTTGCACAGAGCTTGTTTCAAAGGGAAAATCGATGCGGTTAGAACGCTGCTCGAGAAGGGCGTGGATGTGGATGCTAAAGATGAGGATGGATACACGGCCTTGCACTGCGCAGCCGAGTCGGGGCATGCGGATGTGATAGAGATGTTGGTGAAGAAAGGAGCTGATGCTGAGGCTCGAACTAATAAAGGTGTGACTGCACTGCAGATTGCTGAGTCTTTGCACTATGTTGGGATTACAAGGATACTTGTTCATGGAGGAGCCACAAAAGACAATAATATGGCACGTCTCCTGTCACCGGCTTCAGTTACATTTGGGAAGAAGTCTATGGGTCTAGAGGAGGAGCTCAAGGGAGGGATGAAGAAGAAATCGAGTCGAGCTAGGGCTCTTCGTGGGAGCTTCGATCGTTCTATGCCATTGGCTGTTCTGTAGCTATGCTGGATTATGTTTGGGGGTATGGATGTTTTGTTGAATTAGGGCTTGTCACATTTGGAGGTCACAATGACTCTGCTTTTGTCTCAAAGTACGTATCTGCAGAACAAGTTGTAGACTTATTCATAATATTTGCATTCTAAAACACCTTCAAAATTGATTGTAATTCCCTAGCTATATGTTAATAAATATCGTATGTATTGTATATGTCATAACATCTACTGGATACAGGAGAGGCAAAAGACAAAATGACAGCATGATCATTGCTTTGGTTTGCTCGGATTTTTGCCCATTCCGCATGTTTTTATTGTAGTAATCTTACAAAATGAATATAATTATCACTGTTGTTTTTGGAGCCCATAATCTTTTGCATGGTGTGGTAGTATCTAGCAAGGCCGAGATAAACTCTCAGGCCAGCCTTTCAACGATTGTGTGATACAATTTATGGAACGACATAAATAAAATGTCCCAAATTATTAGTCCAGATAAACTTTCTGCCCAAAATAAAAGGATAAAAGGAAAAATTAGGACCGGTTTGGTGGTGTTTTCAGAGGCCGTTTTGTGTTTTTATTCTCAGAATATGATTGTGATTTGTGTTCGGTGGTGAGGGTGAGAAAATACAGATTTTTTTTACTGAAGACAGATTCTAAGTTTTAGTTATATAAGTCAGAAAACGTTAAAATGATGTTTTCACTTTGGCATCTTGACATTGTAGTTGGTGGCAATATCCTTCCAAACAATCGGCGCAACATCAACTTCAAAAAGTGCACCAACTTACAACTGTAAAACAAGGCTTATTTATATTAATACTCCCTGATATTACGGTCAAATATTATATTGTCTCCTTAAAATTAAAGTAGCTCACTTACTCTGCTTAATTGTGGTTTGGTGACCCACTTTGGCTCCTATCGTCAATTTCGTCTAAAAGTCTATTAACTATGATGACGTGATAGAGGTGTTTTTGTAATTTCATACACATGGATCATTATCCACCAATTGAACGGTGACGTGGCAACTAGAGTACACTTCCATATAGATAAAGATATAATTAAATATTCTAATTATTAAAATTATAAAAAACAATTAAAATAAAGCATATAAAAAATTGGTGTTTATGGGTGGTTGCGGAAATTTGGGGCTGCAGTGGATTTGGTGGGTAGCGGGTTTTGGGTAATTGATTGGGTTATTGTTTGTGTATATTGTTTGGGTTGGTGTTATATTCTCATGAGTTTTTCTAGAATTTTAATTGAAGAAGAATATTGATTTCTTGGTTTTTGGGGCTTTTTTTTTTCTTTTTCTTTTCAATGATGGTGGTGATACTGTTGAGAGTCGTTTGTGAGGTAAAATACCTCTAGGCCGAGTTAGGCCAAACCACAGTGTTAGTGGTTGAGCTGGGCTAGACCACGGTGTTAGTGGTCGGGCTGGGCTCGAGCCTGGTCACCCTATACTTTTCCACCCTGACCCGTGTGGACTCGTGGGCCCATTTGAGCTCAGCCTCGGTGCACATGAGTTTGATTTACGTTGTGGTCACTCAAAGGACTCCCAATCCCAAGGAAGTTGGGATGTTTCGGGATCACCAAGACGCCAATCTAAATAGAGCCCTAGTCCGAGGAGATTAGGATGTTCTGGAGTCCTAATTCGAGGAGAGCTGGTTTGCTCTAGAGTCCCACTTCGAGAAGGATCAGGTCGTCTAGGATGATATAAAAGGCTAAGGCCATCCTTCGTAAAAGGTATGCAATTCTAAGCACTAAAACCTATTGTGCAATTTTACTCTCAAACACTCGACTGACTTAAGCATCGGAGGGTTCTTGGCCGGCACCACACCGGTGTCACCCACTGAGGCTATCTTGTTTTACAGGTTCTGGAGGACGACTTGGTTAGTCACGCTAACCTAGTTTGGAAGAATTGTCCGACCTCAATCTTGAAGAGGTCATCTTCTGTTGAACTAATTTTAGGCATCAACAGTTTGGCGCCGTCTGTGGGAATCGACATCTTGTTGATTTCCATCTAAGTTTTTAGACAACAACCACTTGCTTGACACCATGAGTCAAGAGTCCGACCACAGCGAACCCGTCACCCCTGTTGCGCCTATTAAGGGGAGGAAGAAATCCAATCGCTTAACTAACATCGAGACCTACCTGAAGGAGATGAGGAGAGATATTAATGAACTCCGTGACCAGAACAAGGAGGTCGGAGGAGGAGCCGAGAAGACCTACACAGGAAGGCAGCGAAGGCTAGAAGAGTGGTGTCAAGAACATGGAGATAGTAAACAAGGCGGACCCCAACGCCGAGGCAAACTTCAACTTGAAGGACAGAATGATGAAGAGGGGGAGAGCCGTCCCCGATCTCCCAATGGAACGAACCGTGAGAAGCTGCTAACTTTCGAACCTAACCTTCGCGAATCATTCTCTGGTTTCTCTCGCATGCCAACCGAAAGCTAGAGGGAATACCTTGATCTAAGGGATTTGCTTGAGGCAAAGAAGGCTCAGTACATCCGACCTCGTAATCGCGATCGTGAAGTCGATCGTGATCATGAAGTCAATCATGGTCGTGATCGTGATCGGGAAGTGGATCAGTCTGAAGTTCGCCCTAATAGAGATGAGCAAGCTGGAGAAAGTAGAATTTTGGAGGCCATGAAGCGAATGCAAGATGAGATGGATCGGAAGCTGGAACTCCGCCTAACAGCCCTCGAGCATGAGCGAGGTCCAGGACCTCTCGACCTGGTCACGACAACTGACACCCTACCATTCACTAGGGACATCCTTGAATTCAAGCTCCCAAAAGATTTCAAACAACCTAAGATGCGACTCTATGATGGGACCACTGATTCGGTGGACTTCTTAAACGACTTCGGTTACTGGATGAATGTGAAGGATGTCGGAGATGCCATGAAATGTCGTGCTTTTCCTCTGCTCTTAGAAGGATCAGCTAAGGATTGGTTCAAGTCCTTGAAGCCAGACTCCATCAGCTCATTTGACCTGCTCAAACAGAGCTTTGTGAACCAATTTTTATCTACCTCAAAGAAGAGATACCCACCTAACTACCTCACCAGCATCAGGCAGGGCCCTAAGGAGAAGTTGCGAGACTACATCAACCGTTTCAATTGAGAAGTAATTAGCATCCTTAGTTGCTCCAAAGATACGGCCTATACTGCTCTTCTAGCAGGGTTCCGGAGAGGACCTTCCCTGTTCCATGTCAACAAGTTTCCATCTAAGAGTTATGAGGACCTGGTGTCCGAGGCGTATCGTCATGCCATAGCTGAGGAGATGACATATGATACACCAGAAGGAAAGGACCCGTCGTAGCCTGGTGTAGGAGATAAACGGAGAGAAGATCGGAATGATGTACGCGAGAAGCCAGACTACAAGAAAGGAAGATTTGAGAATTCTAGACTAGGTGAGAGAGATCAAGATCGGCCACAAAATCTATTTCGACCACGGTTCGACAACTACACCCCATTGAATGCTAATTGAGAGGAGGTCTTCTTCCACATGCAAACAGAGTTGCCGAAACCACGACCTTCGAGGTTTTCCAAGGGGCGAAAGGATCCAAATCGATATTGCAGATATCATCTCGAGAACGGTCATACGACAGACCAATGTTACGAACTCCAGGATGAGATTGAAGCATTAATCAGGCGAGGTCGTCTAAGCCGATTTGTGGGTGAGAAGAAGCAAGCAGAGCCACATGACAATGCTCCAGATAAGAAACCACGTGCTATGAAAGACATCAATGTTATCTCAGGTGGAGCAACCCTATCTGGGGACTCCAACAAAGCATGAAAGGAGTATGCGCGACGTACCCCAGGTGGACTCGAGGCCCTTTATATTGGTCCAGGCTACCGAACTCCGAAGTCACCCAAGCTCGGGTACTTAGCGATCACCTTTAACGAGGAAGAGGAAAGAGGCGTAGTTCACCCGCATGATGACCCATTCATAGTCCAAGCTGAGATCGCAAATTGTTGTGTGAAACGGGTTTTCATTGACACAGGCAGTTCGGTTAATATCATCTTTACATCAGCTTTCGAACAGATGGAAATATCACGAGAAGAGCTCAAGCCAGTGGTCACTCCCTTGCTCAGATTCACTGGGGACAACATCAACCCTATTGGAAGCGTCACACTACCTCTGTCACTGGGAACAGCACCCCAACAGACAACGGTTTACACAACTTTTCTAATAGTTGAATGTCCTTCTGCTTATAATGTCATTTTAGGTAGGCCAGCCTTATGCTCTCTCCGAGCCTTCATCGCTAGCTACATGCTCTTGATGAAATTCCCAACCAAAGCTGGTGTGGGATATGTAAAGGGTGACCAACAAAAAGCTAGGGAGTGTTATGTCGTGGCATCCAAGCAGAGAAGGAAGGAAAAGATGGAGATGTACACCATCGAGGAAGATGGAATAGACCGTGAGGTCGAGCTTGACCCACGAGAAGGTACCAATAAACAACAAGCAATGCCAGGAGGGGACCTAGAGAAAGTGCAAATCGATGATAATCACCCAGATCGGATAGTCAAGATTGGTGCCCAACTACCACCTCAAATTCGTGATGACCTGACAAACTTCCTACGTGAGAACTTTCAGGTATTTGCATGGTCGTATGAGGACATGCCGAGAATAGATCCTAAGATCATATCACACCGTCTAAGTATCGACCTTACCTTCAAGCCAATCCGCCAAAAACGTCAAGCTTATGATGCAGAATGGTATACTGCCACGAAGGAAGAGGTGGACAAGCTCACAAAGATTGGTTTCGTTCGTGAAGTCAACTATCCAGGTTGGTTGGCCAACGTGGTCATGGTGAGGAAGACACCTGTAAAATGTGAATGTGCGTTGACTTCACTGACCTGAACAAGGCGTGTCCCAAAGATAGCTTCCCATTACCCCGTATTGATCAGCTCGTCAATTCAACCGTAGGCGACGAGCTCCTTAGTTTCATAGACGCATACTCGGGGTATAACCAAATTTTGATGTACCCCCCATATCAGGAGCACACCTCATTCATCACAGACCGAGGTCTTTATTGCTGCAAGGTCATGCCATTCGGTCTCAAAAACGCTGGTGCGACATACCAGCGACTTGTTAACCAGATGTTTGCCAACCAGATTGGGAAGAATATGGAGGTGTATGTCGATGACATGCTAGTAAAGAGTGTCACGGTTGATCATCATATTCAAGACTTAGCTGAAACCTTCAAGGTATTAAAGAGGTATAAGATGAGGCTTAATCCCGCCAAGTGCACCTTCGGGGTTAGCTCGGGAAAATTCCTTCATGGTCAGCCAGCGTGGCATTGAGGCGAATCCAGAAAAAATCCAAGCTCTGCTTAACATGACGTCACCTAGGACTTTAAAAGAAGTGCAAAGCCTAACAGGTTGTGTGGCTGCACTAAATCGATTCATATCTCGAGCTACAGACCGTTGTCAACCGTTTTTCCAAGCTATAAAAGGGAGGACGAAACTCATTGATTGGACCCCTTAGTGTGGGCGAGCTTTTCAAGAGTTAAAGGAATACTTGGGAAAACCCCATCTTCTGTCCAAGCCTGAACATGGGGAAGATTTGTTATTGTACCTATCTGTGTCCTCCACAACGGTAAGCTCAGTGCTCATCAGAGAGGTGGGCAAGGTTCAACACCCTGTGTATTATGTAAGCCGAGCTCTCCAAGATGCCGAAAGAAGGTACCTTGAGATCGAGAAGTTGGCCCTCGCCCTTGTTAGTTCAGCTCGGAAGTTAAGACCTTACTTCCAATCTCATACCATCGTCGTGCTGACCAACCACCCATTGAGGCAGGTCTTGCAAAAGCCTGAGACCTCATGTCGGCTCATCAAATGGTCAATTGAACTAGGTGAATTTGATATCATATACCGCTCACTAGAAGCAGTCAAGGCTCAAGCTGTTGTCGATTTTCTTTCTGAGTTCACTAATGTACAACCACCATCATTGCCGACCGATCAGCTTGAGATGAGCATGGAGAAGAAGATACAACCTAACTTTTCATTTTGGATTCTACATGTTGATGGTGCTTCAAATCAGCAAGGAAGTGAAGACAATGAGACCCAGTATGCCTTACTGTTTGGGTTCAAGGCCTCGAATAATGAAGCTGAGTATGAGGCACTCCTTACAGGGCTTCGCCTAGCCTCCGAGCTTGGGGTTCAACAGCTACGCATTTTCAGCGACTCCCAGTTGGTAGTAAATCATGTCACTAAAGAACACCAAGATCGAGATAAAAGCATGAGTGCCTACCTGGCCGAGGCCAAGAAGTTGTTGGATGATTTCATTGGTTATGAAATCATTTAAATTCCTCGGCTCGAGAATGCAAAAGCTGACTCCCTTGCTCGATTGGCATTTCTTTCGATATCGACCTAGGGAGATCCATCCCGGTGGAATTCTTGGAGAAACCTAGCATTGAGGAAGATCGCAAGGGTATGTTCCCTATTAGTTCCGAGCCAACTTGGATGGATCCAATACGTGATTATCTAACTCATGGATTCCTACCTGAGGACAAAGCAGAAGCTCGACGTGTACGGTATAGGTCATCCCAATATCTGATCATCAACAACAAGTTGTATAAACGAGGTTTCTCTTTGCCATACCTCCGATGCCTGACACCAGATGAAGCTAACTCTGTGCTTCGTGAAATCCACGAAGGTGTTTATGGAAATCACTCAGGCACTCGATCTCTTGCCCACAAAGCCCTCAGACAAGGATATTATTGGCCAACACTCCAAGCTGATGCTAAGAAGATTACTCAAACCTGTCCCAAATGCCAAGAATACACGGTGGTTCCCCATCAACCACCAGAGAATTTGACTTCAATTAGTAGTCCTTGGTCTTTTGCTCAATGGGGAATTGACCTAATTGGCCCTATGCCAAGGGGAAAAGGTCAGACCAAGTTTGCAATTGTTGCAGTGGACTATTTCACCAGGTGGGCTGAGGCTGAACCCCTAGCTACAATAACCGAGAAGAATTGCACCGCTTTCCTTTGGAAGAACATCATATGCTGATTTGGTATCCCATACTCCATAGTTACTGATAATGGTAAGCAATTTGATAATGCCAAGCTTCGTGAGTTATGTGCAGAGCTCAACATCAAGCATTTCTTTGCATCTCCTGCTCATCCTCAAGCTAATGGCCAAGTCGAAGCAATCAATAAGTTGATAAAAAAAGAACTTGAAGACAAGGTTGGACAAGGCTAAAGGAGCATGGGCTGAACTATTACCCCAAGTCCTTTGGGCGTACAGAACTTCACATCGAACATCCACGGGGGACACTCATTATGCCCTTGCTTTTGGAGCTGAGGCCGTAGTGCCTGTCGAGATTGGAATAGCTACACACAGGGTGGAAGTGTTTCAGGCTGAAGCAAATGATGATCAGATGAATCTCAACCTGGATTTAGTAGATGAACGACGGGACCATGCTCAGCTGCACAATGCCTCATACCAACAACGTGTAGCTCGCTACTACAACTCCTGTGTCAAACACCGAGCTTTCCAGGTTGGTGACCTGGTACTCCGCAAGGTCATGCTTGCTACTCGCAAACCTTTAGATGGAAGCTTGGGACCGACCTAGGAAGGGCCTTACCATGTCATTCAAGTTGTACGCCCGGGCACTTATCGACTAAGGGATCTCAAGGGAACAAATTTGCCTCATCCTTGGAATGCTGAACATTTAAGGAAGCATTACCAATGACTTCCTCGTCGTCTACATGCTCTCAGAGTTAGATCATCAGTTTGAGATTCAGATTTTTCGTTTTGTTTCTTTTCATTCGATGTAGGACTATCTTGTTATGATAGCTCATAAGTTAGCTTTTAGTTCTTCAACTTAGTTAGCCAGCGTGCGAGCTTGCTCTTGTTTTGTTTTCAATTTTTTACTAGTGAATAAAATTGGGATTCCTTTTCCAGCGTATTGTCTCTCCAAGCCTTAACAAAGTAACTCAAAGGGGCGCATTCAGGTCAGGATGAAATCAAGCTCTAAAGGTTTGCCAAGCTCAGATGGACGAAAGGTCTGAGCTATATTTTTATTAAGCTCATATGGACGAAAGGTCCAAGCTATATTTTTTTTTTATCAAGCTCGTATGGACGAAAGGTCCGAGCTATATTTTTTATAGAGCTCATGTGGACGAAAGGTCCGAGCTATATTTTTATCGAGCTCATATGGACGAAAGGTCCGAGCTATATATATATATATATATATTTTTTATCAAGATCGTATGGACGAAAGGTCTGAGTTATATTTTTTATCAAGCTCGTATGGATATATATATATATATAAGAAAGGAATCTGGGGGGGGGGGGGGGGTTTTGTTTCTCTTTGTGCCCCCCT